TGCTGGTAGTGGAAAGAGGTTGGTGCAGGAAAAAAGACCATATAGTAGGGGATAAAAGTGTGAAATATAATTGTTTAGTAAAGGTGAAAGTAACCCTGATGGAGGATCTAGAGGGGAGGGTAAATAGCAAATTTGATCAATTGGTGAAGTGATACTGGCAGCAGCAAACAGCCAAACAGAAAACACTGAGCTACATTTCATAAGGCATTGTATTACAGAGAAGGGAGATAATTTTCTGTCATTAGATTGCTTAGCATATCTCCCCAGCTGTACTGGCTTTTGTTGGAACCCACAAAGCACGTTGTTAGAAGGGTATTGACAAAGCAGAATGTGGTGAAGCAAAGTGTGATAGAAAATTTAGCTTCTTAAGAAAGATGAAAATATAGGACTTAGGACAACTTGATAAAGGGGCTAAAGGGATCTCAGAAATACAAAGTTCTGTGCGAATTGAAGGATTTTGATTAAATAGGTGAAACAAAGCTGCACATGGAAGTACAAGTAGGATTAGCTCAACTTAGTTCAGAGCTCAGCAGTGAGGGAAAGGAGATTGCAATGAGCTGTTTTGCATTGTAGAATAGCCTTACTTTGGAAGCAATACTGAACTCGTGCTGAACTTGTGGGAAAAAATTCGCTCTTGATAGTTACTTTTATATTCACTTTGACATTGGCAAGGTAGGAATTCAAAGCTAAAAAGCTTTTACATCTCTAATGTGTCAGTTTCAAGTTCTTTAGCACTGCTTAGCCAATATAAAGTATGTGTTGTTTTGTCCTGTGGATCCCAGTGAAGCTCAGCCCCAAAATACAGTTGTTGATTCCATGTGAAATGTAATTAACATTGGGTTCTTTAAAAATGTTGGAAAACTCTAGGATTGCATATGTCAAAGACCTGGTTCAAAGTTTGGGCTTTTTTCATGTATGTGTCTAATGAGTGGTTGCTTCACACACTCTCAATTCATTCTTGCTTTTCCACTCTTCTGAAAAAGAGTAGATAATCTTCTTGGGGACAGTGCAGGAATTCATGGGGAAAAAAAGGGCATGTTTGTCATAAAGCTGAATGCTGCCTTCTTGTACTGTCACTCCCTTGGGTTAAAACAAAGGCAGACAGTCTTTTTGTCTGTTTCGTTGTTTGGGTTTTTTTTTTCTGAAGGAATAACCATCTAGCTTGTTGAAGATCTTTTTATCTAGAAGGAAATGATAGTTTGTTCTTGTGTAGTGCAAGTGTTTCATTTGCCTAAAGAAATACATAAAACATTGGGACCATGACTTCGTATGCATCTTTTTGTATGCCAAAGATGCATAGATCATAAGTCAAACTCTTCAGCAATCTACTGAAATCCTTAATGATACAGCCTTGTTGCTGCAGTAACAGTAATTCAAGGCTCCTCTATATGCACATCTACCACTGCAGCTAAAACCTAACCGATGAGCAATGTGGGCAGCTCGTGAGGTAGTATCTACTTCAAAACTGGAATTTCCATGACTTATTTCCTTCCACCTATTCCTTCCATTGACACTAGTGGGTTTTATTGCATTCACTTAATGGCTATGTGCTCCCAAGCATGCAGTTACAGCTTTCCTCAGTCAGTTCACTGTAGTACATACAACATGGTCTCCTAGCACGTGTGAATTGTTTCCGCTAGTGTAACATCTCTGATGTAGTTGTGGAAGGAGAGCTCTGCTCAGGCTCAGAGGCATTTGCTGGAGGTGGTGGCACTCTCCTCTGCTGTAGAGCCTGGTACTCATCCAGCTTCCTTGCAACTGTTCCCATCAGTCAGCTGGGAATAGCTCTGGGGGGGACCTGGTGAGCTCTGGACAATCCTCTGGTTTGATATGTGTAGAGAAAATGTCACCCTGCTCCTGGAATATGTTTTTTCTTTAAATGTCACTTCTTACATCAGTGACCTCATCTGACTCAGCACAGCTTCTCTCTGAAGGGAGGCAGTAAAAGCAAGTCAGATTTTGACATAGCTGGAGAATGTAGGGCAGAAGGCACACCAGGAGAAACAAAATGCTGTTATTTGAGCAAACAAAAAATGATTCTTGGAACAGTCTAACAAAAACAAAATGCTGTTATTTGAGCAAACACACAATGATTCTTGGAACAGTCTAACAGGCAGTTATGTAAAACAACTAAAACCTAATCTAAGCATCACAAGCTTCTGAAAACAAGAGAATTGTCTATTATGTACACATAGTTTATTTCATCCTCAGGTTTCCCAGAAGGTTTTGCTGAGGTTTGTGCTGGTAGTTATGATGGCACTCTGCCTGCTGCACCCATGTCTCACCTTCAAAATGGGGCAGGGTTGAAATATCCATGTGGGTAGATCACCAGCTTTCTTATTTAGAGGGTGATTGTATTGAAAGTCTGTAGGAGCTAGGGGAGACCTGTGCTAAGAGTGCCCCTAACAAATGGAGCTGTGACTACAGCATGAGCTTCTGTAGTGTTGTAACTTCATTATTAAGCACAGAGCTTTCTCCAGAAAGGCAGAAGGAATACAGACACTGGAGGGAATGGACTTAAGGAGGCCTGAAGAAAGAAAACTGAGGAATATTTTTGCTCCAAATCACAGCTGGTAGTGATAGTGCAGACACATGAAAGAGCTGTGGTCCTGTTGTGTTGAAGGGGAATGTTGGCCAGGACATCAGCATATCCTCTCTGCTTTCCTTTTAAAAGTGCCAAGCTATGCTGAACATTCATGCAGACACAGACGGAAACCAAAGGAGTAGGAACAAGTGACCTTAGTTTAACATTTCATTCAAATGACAGAGCCCCTAATGAGATTCCCACTCTAGTTTCTTAGCACACCACCCAGCCTGAAGGACCTCTCAGACCCTTTCAGATGTCCTAAACTGATAAGGAAATGACATGTTACACATGTGAAAGTAGGACAGAAGCACACAGTATTTGATTAAACAGCTTCTCTGTTTCTTAATGCTTCAGCTCTGTCCAGTTTTATTCTGTTCTGGTTTTGCACCCCTCTGCCCTTATTTTTCTTTTTTGCACAAATAACCGAAGATTTAGGTATAGGAATGTGAGAAGCACAGAATTCAAAGTCAGTAAAACCATAACCTTTCCTCTAATACTTATTTCTATGATAGTCTTTGCTAGTGAATCAATGACTTGCTGTGTTTATCTTACTCCTGATTTCATTCTGTTCTCCTGAACGCTCGAGATGGAGCCAAGAAAGGGCACTAAAAACCAGCAGTGAATTCCTAGGAAAAGGAATAGCACAGTGAGAATTTACCTTCAAAATTTTTGTGTGCGCATGTGACCTTCTCAAAAAATAAATAAATGCAGTACTAGATGAACTGGAAGGCCTAGAAACTCTGTCATTTGAAGTACCACAAGCCAGTTTTGTCTCTCCTCAGTCATCATCCAATCTTCACTGGTTCTGGACTCACAGAGGATAGGTTATATATACTGTCTATGTAAATGTACCTTAGAGGTATTTGTGAGACATCAAAACCCCTTTTCTTCTCAAGCTGTACCTTGTTGTTTGCTTTGGTTTTGGTTTGGGCCGGTTCTACTGGCATAGCATAACTTTTTTGTAAGTCTGCATGAATTGCTGTGGTTTAATGTGGGCCTCTGGCTAAAAGATATGGTTATATGGTTTAGGTTAGTGTCTATGCAGAGATTAGTTATTCCTTTGTACAAATGGCTTTCATGCCACTGTGAATACTAAACTAACACTTTTATTGCTTCATGATTTTGAAAAGTTATTGACCATCTCCTCAGATAAAGACTGGCAGTGTTTGCTCTCTGTCATTTCATCATCAGATATTTATCATGTTTAAAAGTAGGTGTATTGGCAGCGTGACCCATTATCAACATTCAAACTGAGCTACCTTACTGTAGTGCATTGTGTGGTTTTGGCTGGTTTTTTGATTATCAGAGTAGAACATATGCTTTTTTTTCCTTCCCCCTGCCTTAACATAATAGCAATTTCTTTCTAATTGGAGGCTAAAGGAGGATAAATGCTGCAGAGATACAGGAGAGGGATTCTGAAGGTTCTGCACATATTAATGACTTGAAAGGGGTGAGAGTTAGTTAATGTTTGTAGCTTTACCCTGAGAGCAGAAACTTTTTGTTTATATCTGTAGTTCTGACAACAGCTTCTCCCCTTCCCTCATGCCCTCTGTATTTTAACAATTTCCAATCTAAGGCAGAAATGCTATCCAACATTAGTGAACAAGGGTTACAGTTTTATGGAACACCTAAGAACTGGAATACAAGCTATGAAAAAATGAAGGACTTAATTAAGGAAGCAGTTAGCTAGCTATTTGTATTGTTAGGCTTTCATTCAAGTGTCATGCCTTTAGACTTGTATTGAAATAACGAGACAGGTATGTAGAGAAACTCTACTTTTGCCATGAAAATTAGATGATGATTAGAAGTATCCCATGATACATCTTTCTGCATCAGAGAGAATGAATTTTAGTTTTCCCTCGAGAAAGCAAGGGCTGTGCAACCCCTTTCTGCATCAGAGAGAATGAATTTTATTTTTCCCTCAAGAAAGCAAGGGCTGTGCAACCAGGAGCCAAACATCAAGTTGTGGGGTTTCTTGTGATGTTAATGCATGTTGTATATACTTTTTTTCAGTTTAACAAACCATTGCAAAAGAAGGTAAACAATTTTTGGTGCCATTCCTGGTAGATGTGGGAAGAGCCATATAAGAACACCTTGTTTGTAGTACATTATATGTCACAGTGCAGTCAATGTGTGCTGAAGCAGAATTTAAACATGGCTATAGAGTTGTTAACAGGTTAGTAAAGAGATTTGGGGTTTTAGCATAGGATTTTGTTTCCTTGTTTTATTACAACATGTGTTTTGTCCATAAAGCAACTGAGCAGGATGAGGGGCTTGAGGAGCCTAGAAAGATCTGTCCCCTTCCCTGGGGACTATATTAGACCTATGAGTCATGAAGTCTTTGCATAGTAGGTGTCTGGTTACAAACCTTTTATGGGCCCTGCTCAGCTGGGATATCAGCATCTGCATTATAGCTCCCATCTATTCTTAGGTGGTATCAGAGCACGAGTGAACAGGCAAGGCAGAGAGAGAATTGCTTTCATTACGTAAAACTCTTCCCTCTTCTCATCCTGTTTTTTCACACTTTTCTCTGTCTACCCCATCCTTCTGTTCTGCAGTGCCTAGTTGTTCTCTTGTGAGAGAGATACAGAATGGCTTACAGCGTGACTCTGAACGGACCTGGACCATGGGGTTTCCGACTGCAAGGGGGCAAGGACTTCAACATGCCCTTGACCATCTCCAGAGTAAGTGTGCAAAAAACCTTGTTGAGCCTTGTTTAGGTTAGAAAATAGCAGTCATATGTGCACTCTGACCCGGCCTAGCAAAATAGAGGATCTTTGCACTTAGGTGTGAATGAAGAGAATATAATGTGGTCTTTAAATACACCAATTCAAAGTACAACCTGACATTGATAATGCCTCAGGAAGACAGTTCTGGTTTCTATGTTTTTATGAATGACGATACTGTCTCTCTTAAATAAGTTTCCAGTTCTATTTTGTACAGTGTTGTCTCTTTTCTTTTGCTGATAGGGCCCTTACTGGTGCTGTCTGTCTGGGGGGAATGGAGTGGAACGACTATGAATGGGAATATAGAATTATATTTCTAGGAAATAAATGTGTAACTTCTGGTAAATATGTGACATCAGGTGACACAGATACATGTCCCCTCTTGTGAGGAGGTGCAATAATTGAATAAAAATGAGGCATGTCAAGAAGAAGACTCAATAGTGTTTAAAATATAGTCTTAAATTATGCAGAAGTCTTCCATTTGCAGCTGACAAACAGCATGTGATTTAATAATTAATTACCTGGTGCATCTGTTGATTTCTGACTAGTCCATTTATTTCCTAGCAGTTTTGGAGTTTTTTTCCTTTCCCTTAAAGCACTGTTTTATGTTTCCCTTACCTACCCCTCTCTTATCAGATAGTTCTGTGTTACTTCTGGTAGCTCCCTTCTCTTTCCCCCCCACCCCACCCATTTCAGGCAGTCTCAAATCTGCTCCAGAATGTTCTGGTCTTTTTAGAGAGGTCTTGGGTTCCTTCACAAATCACCTGCAGAAGGCTTATTTTGCAGTACAGTGACAAGAGAGGTTACTTACATAACAGTGTTTAAAAGGAATACCAGAATGATTAAATCAGACAAATGAGTAGAACGCAAACAAAAAGTCTGCTCCACTAAAAAAAAAACAACACCAAAGCCACCTACACTACTTGTAAAACTGTGTTGGCTTTTTCATAATGAAAAAATGCAGTGTTAAGCTGTGAGTACCAAATTGATATCCCTGCAACAATTGTGATTCAAAGTCAACTGATGAGCTTCTGAAATCTTAACTATGCTATTTCATATTCATCCTGTGAAGCTTTGTATCATTTGATCTCCCTTGTTCTTATTCACATGATCCCTTTCTTGGAAGGCAGAGCTGCATTTACCTTAATACTAAGTCCTGTGATGATGAGAGGAAATTTTCATAACTCCTTTTGCAGAAGCTGAATTGTAAGTGCAGAGAAGGCTGTTCTGTCAGTATTATTAAAAGCAAACAAGGAAAAGACAACCTAAAATACTCCTCACCACAAAAATAAACTCACTTCATAAACTCAGATTAATTTCACTCTTGTAAATAGTTTTGGTATTTCTTTTCTTATCCCACCCAAGGTAAGTACAGAGAGGTGCCAATACATTTCTGTAGGAATTTTCATGACACTTTGCAGCCTGCACTGTATGGTGTTGATTATTTTTTTGTCAGTTATTCAGTCATACCTAGAGGCTGTCAGTCAAGGGCTGGGGCTGTGTCACTTGCACAGTATGTTTCCCAAAGAACTCGTTGTCTCAGGTTGTAATCTCTTAAAGTGTAAACACTACGCCCAAAGGCTATATGATTCTCATGGGGCTTTTGAGAGCATATGAGGAGCAAGAGTGAAACTGCAGTGGCTGAATTCCCAGAGGTGTTGCCTCTTCACACAGCTGACTGCATTTCCAGCAGCAGCATTGTCAGAAAGCACTGTTAAATATTTTGAACTCTTCCACAGTGAGACCCAGTTTAGAGGTGGGACTGTTGATCCAGGATGGGATTGGATTTTGTAGCTTGCCTTATGAGGGGAAAAGCAGGCATGCAGGAATGAGCATGGGGGGGAGCTGAAATAATAATGTCTGCTGGTTGTGATGTTTCTAATTGAAACACAGTGTAATACATGGCTTTTGATGCTAGCATTCTTTCTAGTCTATTCTCTCTAGTCTAACATTCTCTCTAGTCTATTTTTTCTTTAGCATCTTTCGCTAAATGTGTCTCCAAACATATCAGATATTCCCCTTAATCAGATATTTCCAATCATAAGTGAGTTCATCTGTGAAGTCAACCACAATTGCAATCTTATCGTTGGGAAAAGGGAAAGCTATTCTTACATTCTCAAGATATTCTTGGAGGAGTGGGGAAGAGAAGATAACTCTGAGGAAAATCCCCTTCTTGGAAAGGGCACACAGCTCTGAGTGTCGCTAGTGGATGCTGTGCACTTATCTGTGGACCAGTTTTGATCCTCAGCTGCCCTGAGATGGGATTAGACTTTCTATGTGCAAATTGAGTCCTAAACCCCAAACACTTCCAACTGAAAGGTTCTTTTAATTGCTTTTAATACCAGATGTGCCATGGCACTTTTGCCTGCACATGCATAGTGTCCCTCTGTGAAAGCAGATAGGGTTTGCATACAGACATGTTTGTTAAGTGGAACTGCCCTGGGCAATTAGCCTGTCTGTGGGTAGGCCACAGAGAACAAAAAGACTGCTCGTTTTTTGTGAAGGCTCTGTGCTCTTACGTCACACTGCAAGAGAGTTGTCTCTCAGCTCCTGAGAAAGATGATGGCAACAGTCTAACACACTGGGATTGTTCATCCCATCTATAGTATTCTGCCTACATGTTTCCAAGGTCCTTCCCGAAAGAGAATGCTAGTATCATACCATTATGAAGCTAGCCCCTGTGTAGATGTGAAATGGACACCCTGAACGTGGGAACTAGAGCTGTGGTCTAGCTGTGTGTTGACCTGTACTCTGTCAGCCAGCCCTGCACAAATCCTACTCATCTTGCACTTCACCTGAGAAATCCTGAAGGTCTTTGAAGCCTACTGACCAAAGCACAGTACAAGACTGTGGCATTGCTAATGCTTCTGTTCAGAAAAAATGCTCTTGAAACAGTGGAAAAGGAAGGAAATTACTCAGGGCTGTTTGGCATAACAGTTCACTTTTAAAGGACTCTTTAAAATGGTGTCTGAGACACAGTATTTTTACCATTCAGGTAGGTCCAGGTGATCTGCAAACTGTTGAATAGTAAATAGCATGAGAGACAGGAGTCACAGTCAGTCAGCTGGGTGACAGGTGAAGATGTGTTCCCCCGAAATGGATTGTTCTGCTTATCTGTTCTTTATCTAAAAATAAAAGCCTGACTAACATAGTGGGTGGGGACAAGGAAACAAGAGACAAAAACAAGTAGAGAAGAGTTAAGGTCACCCTACAGCTTTCACACTCCTTTAACAATGGCATCAGAAAATCATATGTGAAGATTTTAAAACTATTTTTCCAGTCCCCACCCTGCAGACCGTCCTACTCTGTAGAAAAATTCTGTCATAAGACATCAAATTCTGTCATGAGATGTCATGGGCAGGTAGCAGAGATAGGAAAACAGTATTGACAGACTTTTAGTAAAGCTGAACATCTGTCAGCCCTGTTGAAATGAATGAGACTTGCAGGCTGTTGACAATACTAAGAGCTGTCACCAGTGCCATGATCATATGCATAAATCTGGTCTTTGCAAATTGACGTGGGCAGCAAAGCCGTTTATTTTCTCCTACTCCTTGCATGAACTGTCTGGAAGCAAGCGGAACTCATTAATTTTATAGACCTAATCCCCCATAAGAAGGATTTTGGGCATAGTTAATTATCTAAGTGCTCTGTTGCCATGTTACCTAAGATGGTATGATTGTCCATGGTTTGATGCAATAGCAGAACCTCTTCATATATTTGTTGGAATGTTTATTGCTGAACCTTTTCTAGACAGACTGCCTTGCAGGCGATGCAATGAGCTGAAAGGTGTGCAAGAATTATCATCATCTGAGGCAGTGGAACTATTATCCAGAACACTGTGGTAACCCATGACTGGTATATACACTCTGTGTTTATCCATACAGTTTTGCATTTCCTAATAGAGAGTTTTTTTAGTTGCCTGGGTTCCAAATCAAAAGCCAGAGCCTGAAGCAGAAGGGCATGGTGTTTAAACAAACAAAAAAAAAAGCTTTAAAGAACTATATTTATTTATTTAAGTGAGGAAAAAGTTGAGATCTGGCAATGATGTAAGCACAGTGAGGGGAAATAGCAAACTACTACGAAAAAGGATGAAATTAGCTGATCTATGTACTTATTCTGATACAAGCAGCCTGAAACAGCTCTTTGAGGGGGTAGGGGGGGAAATCCCTGGTCTAGCATTTTGCAATCTGTGTCTCTGGTGGAGCAGAAAGGTTTTTTTCTCACAGTTGTTGGCCTCTTTCCTTTCATCAGCATCTCTTCCTGATTGCTTCCTGTCCCTCCTCCACTCCCTAGCATACATATGCCAAACTCTGGCTGTGACTGTTTTTGCTTTAGAGAAGCTATGTGAGAGTATTCATTTCCTGTGGGCTATTGCATATTGGTGCCTTAGAACACACAAGTGATGGCTGAAGGCTGCCCCTCTTTGCTTTTCTTTCTTCTGTTCTTGAACGATGGGAAACCTTAGATGATCTGTGTCATTTGAATGGCCATGTGGTGCTGTACATAAATCATAATCAGAAGAATGCAGTTTACCTATATTGACTGAACTGAAGCAGTTTAACAAGTTGACTTTAAATGCTGATCCCACGTCACCTCTTAAACATCCATCTCTGGTGAATCAAACTGCTGAGTAGTTGTCCTACAGCTACAATTGTAGCTTTGAAAGGTTTTTTTTCATCTCCAAATACTATTCAGTAGAGATGTTTCCTTCATCTCCTAAAATTCAAATGACTGAATCAACTTCGGAGAAGGGAGTAAGCCATTTAATGTAATAACTGTCTTATATCTAGATAGACTGTAGCAATTTCTAATGCCTGAGTGGTTTCACATTCTTCCAGTCTTCTTACAATTTAACTCAAAATGGTTCTTTGTGAGAGGAAAATGAAATACTTCCAGGCCAGTTTTCAAGAACACTCAAAAACATTCCTATCTGTTATTTTTTTTAATAAAACATCTGT